ATCTTCTACTTGTTCATTTCAGTGTCTTTTGTTTTGTTTAAACAGCGTCATAATCTTCTACTTGTTCATTTCAGTGTCTTTTGTTTTGTTTAAACAGCATCATAATCTTCTACTTGTTCATTTCAGTGTCTTTTGTTTTGTTTAAACAGCGTCATAATCTTCTACTTGTTCATTTCAGTGTCTTTTGTTTTGTTTTGTTTTGTTTAAACAGCGTCATAATCTTCTACTTGTTCATTTCAGTGTCTTTTGTTTTGTTTTGTTTAAACAGCGTCATAATCTTCTACTTGTTCATTTCAGTGTCTTTTGTTTTGTTTAAACAGCGTCATAATCTTCTACTTGTTCATTTCATTGTGTTTTGTTTAAACAGCGTCATAATCTTCTACTTGTTTATTTCAGTGTCTTTGTTTTGTTTAAACAGCGTCATAATCTTCTTCTTGTTCATTTCAGTGTCTTTTGTTTTGTTTAAACAGCGTCATAATCTTCTACTTGTTCATTTCATTGTCTTTTGTTTCGTTTTGTTTAAACAGTGTCATAATCTTCTACTTGTTCATTTCAGTGTCTTTTGTTTTGTTTTGTTTAAACAGCGTCAAAATCTTCTACTTGTTCATTTCAGTGTCTTTTGTTTTGTTTAAACAGCGTCATAATCTTCAACTTGTTCATTTCAGTGTCTTTTGTTTTGTTTTGTTTAAACAGCGTCATAATCTTCTACTTGTTCATTTCAGTGTCTTTTGTTTTGTTTTGTTTTGTTTAAACAGTGTCATAATCTTCTACTTGTTCATTTCAGTGTCTTTTGTTTTGTTTTGTTTAAACAGCGTCATAATCTTCTACTTGTTCTCTTCAGTGACTTTTGTTTTGTTTTGTTTAAACAGCGTCATAATCTTCTACTTGTTCTCTTCAGTGTCTTTTGTTTTGTTTTGTTTAAACAGCGTCATAATCTTCTACTTGTTCTCTTCAGTGTCTTTTGTTTTGTTTAAACAGCGTCATAATCTTCTACTTGTTCTCTTCAGTGTCTTTTGTTTTGTTTTGTTTAAACAGTGCCATAATCTTCTACTTGTTCTCTTCAGTGTCTTTTGTTTTCAGACTTATGGCGGTTGATTACACCACTGCCAGCTTGCTTGGCCTGTCGCGTTACATTCAGTTTTCCTGCGTGCACCATTAGAAAGTGGGGTAATCACCATCATCATCAATTTATACTTTTGCGTTTGAACGTTGTGAGGACGAACAGTTTGATAGGAAGTAATGACTATACTGATTCTTTAACCTTTTTCAGGTGGCGCCCCTGGAGTAAAAGACAAGACCCCCACCCCCTCTTCCTTTTTGGCAAGACCTCCACGCACCCCGTCACCTTTTCTTTGCAAGGCCCCCAAGTCCTCACCTCTCAACTCAAGATTTTTACATTAGATACACAACCTGCTTATGAAAATTTTGTCTGATAATATCATTTCTTACTTTGTTTTGGATGGTAAGTTTGCTTTCCTTGGACATCTCATTTCACAGGTGTTGACTTCACTTAGAATATAGAATATCCTTTAAATTTTGGGCTAGTTTAAAAACTTTCTTTATATTGTGTTTGTTCCTGAAGGCTCTCTTGATCCAGATGTCTTAGGGATTCCAAATAACATCAAGTCGGATTTGTATAAGGATCTTTGCTGCCTGGTCGACCAGTATTAATTATGTATTTATTAAAGTATTGGGAAGTAAAGGCAGTAAGCGTGATGTTGGCCATGTCTCTAATTGCCTGCCTGATTCATCATTATGTAGCAGGTCCCTAGCAGAACGTCGCTGTCATCACGGTCTCTCACCAGCTCTCCCGCTTCGTGTACATTTTTTTCAAGAAGTCTCTCATATCACGTGCGCCTCTTTGTGCAGGTCGGACTCGCCCCTCCTTCCTGGTACCATGTTCATGTTGGTCGGACCCTGCCCCTCCTTCCTGGTACCATGTTCATGTTGGTCGGACCCTGCACCTCCTTCCTGGTACCATGTTCATGTTGGTCGGACCCTGCCCCTCCTTCCTGGTACCATGTTCATGTTGGTCGGACCCTGCACCTCCTTCCTGGTACCATGTTCATGTTGGTCGGACCCTGCACCTCCTTCCTGGTACCATGTTCATGTTGGTCGGACCCTGCACCTCCTTCCTGGTACCATGTTCATGTTGGTCGGACCCTGCACCTCCTTCCTGGTACCATGTTCATGCTGGTCGGACCCTGCCCCTTCTTCCTGGTATCATGTTCATGTTGGTCGGACCCTGCCCCTCCTTCCTGGTACCATGTTCATGTTGGTCGGACCCTGCACCTCCTTCCTGGTACCATGTTCATGTTGGTCGGCCCCTGCCCCTCCTTCCTGGTATCATGTATCTCCTTCTCTGTGCCATAAACAGCACACCTGAACTCTTTCTATCCTGGGCAGTAAACTCTCTGTATGCAGTAATGAATATTTCTTCTTATTCTGCCTTCATAGAAGGATATAAATGTGTAGTGCCAATTTACCAGAGTGCTGAGACTTCTGCAGGCACTGGAAGCACAGTTTAACCTTCTCAATTAATATATTTTTAATTTGCAAGAGTTACAAAAACAATATATAGCAATTGACTTTGACTGCTGTATGGAGGAGAAACATGGAAAACGAAAACAATCACTAATAAATTACAAATATTCATTAACTGGTGCTTGTACAGACTAGAGTGAATTAAATGATATGACAGAATTACTCATTTGGACCCTCTTGGAAAGAACAGAACAAATTCAAGTGAATCAAGAGGTGAAGATGAGATCCTGGCAATGGATAGGACACAAGGTAAGAAAACCTGGAGCAGTAGCACCACAGTCCCAGTATAAGGTGCAGATGCATAGGAAAGAGACTGGATTGGGGGCTGTTGGTTCAGACCCAGGTAATGCCTGGAACAACTGGATTGTCAGTGGCTGAGTGGTGATTGTAAAGCCCTCTCGCTGGTTGGGGTAGGGTTGAATTGACAGATGCCTTATAATGTAAAATTAATCAACTAGAAACTGTGGGGGAAAAAGCAATTGTTGCTGCAAAACATAAATAATAGCAGGAATTTCATACACACTTGTGTACACAAATGGACAACTGATAATTACTTCACTAAATGACTTAATTAATTTTAAATAGTTCATATTTTGTCTACCCAGTGTGGTGCAGATACTTGGACAATGAACACGCAACTAGAAAATCGAATTGAGTATATGGAAATGTGGGTATACAGAAAAATAGGTCATATTTCATGGAAATAAACAGTCCAGTACAGAGGTTCTGAGGGGATTACAAATGAGAAGAGAGTTACTGAAAGAAATAAGGAAGAGACAATTGGGATACTTTGGCAACATTAAAAGACATAACACACTTCTGAAGATCATACTGGAGGGAAAGGTCAAAGGTAGAAGAGCAAAAGGTGGGCAGTGAAAAAAGTGGGAGGACAATATCAAGAGGTTGACGGGCAGCAGTATGAGAGAGTGTGAAACCAAGGCAATAGACAGAGCATGTTGGAGATTCATTGCAGCCAGCCTTCGCTGTGGAGATGGAACCTGATTGATTGATTGATTTTGTCTGTGTCCATTCTCTGAATGGATACAATTACTATTTTGTAGCAAATTAGGTCATTCTGTCTCATTCTTCTTCACTTTCTCTTTAACTGTTCCTCTGTCTGCTGTTCTAGCCACCTAAATCACAGCCATGTTGAGCTGTTGTATAGTTTCTTTTGTGTTTATTTTGCATCTTTTTCTTGGTTTGTCTCCTGCTCTCTGTACCTCTCCCCTTCTGGTATATGCCATGTATGATATGGCATCATAAGGTACTCTTTTTTAAGTGGCCATACCATTTTTTTTTGCTTTCTTTGTAGGTTAATGTGTAAATAACTTCAACAGCAAAATGCGGCCTACCTTCTAGAGGACATTCTAATATCTCAGAAAATGACACAAAATATAGAAACAACTTACTGTACTAACAGCACTCTCCTCTTTTCTGGAAACCTATATTTAACTTGAGCAATTGCTGTCCATTTTTCATGTGATTCATCATCACTCAGCAAGTCCTTTACAGAACGTCGCTCTCCTCATGGCACGCCTGAAAGTATCCCTTTGCCTCGCCAACTCTCTGGCCCCATGTGCTTTCAATGCCAATGCATCTTCAATATCTTGTATCCATATTTGCGTAGGTTGACCCCTGCCTCGCCCTCCACAGACTGTACCCTCCATCACCGTCTTTTTCAAGCCATTCCACGTGATTAGAAAGCAAGTAAAACATAATGTAGTTCTGCTAACAGTGTTTAATGTAATGATTTCGCCTGAATCGTCTGTTATATTATTGTGTATATTGCTTGGTCAGTCTATTAAAGCATAGTGTTATTATCAAGAAGAGGGGCTAGTTGAGGGTTTATAGTATTGGGGACTCATACAATAAAACCAAGGTTCGATCCTTGGTAAGGGATTGCAATTTTTCATGAGGCCCTCCCTCCCCCCAGCGCCAAATCATAACCTGTACAGCTCATGGCAACTTAACTAGCTTTGGGAAAACAAATCGTCTTATACACAGACAAATACGGTAAGTAAGTAAGTAAATAAAAGACCCTTTTCAGGCCTTAGTCTAGAAGACATATTGTGCTAAAAACATATTGTGCTAAAGACATATTGTGCTAAAGACATATTGTGCTAGACCTATATTTTTTTTAGATCAGTCAGCACTTGATGGATGATATGGTCAGCATCATACAAGCTACTTTTACTTCCCAGGACATTACCTGATACCCATTTAAGCTGGACCAAACTGTGAACCAAGGTCATTTTTGTTGTTAAAAAAAAATTCACCTCAACGGGGATTTTAATCCTAGAACTTTAGTTAAGTGTCTTGTTGCTATGCTTGAACAAGCATATTTAAATCTGAGATGATAGGAAAAATGGGCAACTCAGGAAGAGGATGTAATTTGTTGCAACTGTGTGCTTATATATTTATATATATATATAAAAAAAATGTGTCTATGTTTACAGACTGCAGAAGATGTTTCAGAATTCAACATTACATCACTGTTTTATGAAATAGCCAGAAATGAAAAATATGAACTTCCAAAAGTGAAGACGGATAAAGAAAAAGAGGAAAGTCAGTCAACTGCCAAGTTAGAAGGTATTAGTTAAGTATACCTGTAATCAGACACATACCCATTCGTTTAACAGATAAGCCCTGCAAGCGATATTGCTGCTGCAATATCTTACTGAAGTACTTCTTCTTCCTCTTCGCGTTCACCAGCTGTAAGCTCTGGCAGAAAGTTCTAGTTGTTCGTCCTTTTCTGGACTGTAGTCCTGTTCCAGAACCTGAGTGTTGTGTGTGCATCCCGTTTTGAGATCTGACACATTTGTATGCAGACTGTTGGTTCCTTGCTTCTCAGGCAGATGCTCTCCAACTTCAAACAAAGCCCCCAATTAGTCTACTCTTACAACATACTTTTGGGTAGGCAGTGGGTCTATTCTTTTTTCCCCCATAATAGGGCCCTGGAACCCATATAGGGAACTGTAGTACTATTATTCATCATCATCATATGCCATGCCACTACGCATAGGCTGTCATGTCTCACTATCTCACACAGTTACAAGAATCACGGATCACATCAGTGTTCTTGTCTTGTCCCATCCAAATGGCTAAGATTTGCGGGTATTCATCTCTTTGCCTTCCCCTTGCTCCCTGCCCATCTATGTTGCCTGTTGTCACCAAGTTCTTGAGTCCATTCCTTCTCATATGCCCAAAAAACACAGACCATTTTGTGCCATTAAATGTCAAAATTGAATACTTAAGAAAATTTATGTTGTATACAATTATCGTTTAATTCTTTACTTATGATGTATGGAATTATCATTGAATACTGTACTTATGATCTTTACAATTATCGTGGAATACTACAATTATTGTTAAATGCTGTATTTCTGATGTATACAATTATCATTGAATACTTGGTTCCTTGCTTCTCAGGCAGATGCTCTCCAACTTCAAACAAAGCCCCCAATTAGTCTACTCTTACAACATACTTTTAGGTAGGCAGTGGGTTTATTCTTTTTTCCCCCATAATAGGGCCCTGGAACCCATATAGGGAACTGTAGTACTATTATTCATCATCATCATATGCCATGCCACTACGCATAGGCTGTCATGTCTCACTATCTCACACAGTATGATGTATACAATTATCGTTTAATTCTTTACTTATGATGTATGGAATTATTATTGAATACTGTACTTATGATCTTTACAATTATCGTGGAATACTACAATTATTGTTAAATGCTGTATTTCTGATGTATACAATTATCATTGAATACTTGGTTCCTTGCTTCTCAGGCAGATGCTCTCCAACTTCAAACAAAGCCCCCAATTAGTCTA